AAAATAGTTAAATAACGGGCCCTAAGGGCCAAATTCACAGTGCTGTACTGAAAATCTGTAGTTAACTGCCGATTCTGAGTTAGCTACGCACTGTGAATTTGGCCTTGAGTGTTTAGAATTCAACAAAAAAATTTCAAATTTTTTCTACGCCACACATATGGTAAGTAAAAGTTAAAAAGCAGTATTTAAATAAGTATTTAACAGGTTACATTAAGAGAGGAAACTGGTTACCTTTTTTAATATGCTTAAATTTAAACAAACATTTTTTAGAGTTTAGTTACCTCGGCAAATTTGTTTGTGTATTTCACTGACGAGCTGACGGTATTCTATTGCAAGTTTAGTTTGATATGGAGGGAAAATTAATCGAGTTGGTACGGAATTATCCAGAATTATATAATTTGGCAATAATTGCCAATAAACATTAGTAAAATAAGTCTTCTTGGTTTCAATGAACTTCATTTTACTGAAAGTACCCGACGACGTGCCACGGATGTGTGTGAATTGGTATCACTGATCGATGCTGATTGGCAATGATAATGAACTGATACGGCACTGACTTGTGAAGATAGATCTTAACTTTTATTATTAGTACCAACTGATTACAACACATTATATGTAGATACATATGTACTAGGATTACAATGGCCGGCCAGATGAATTATGGATACTAATAAAGGCAAAATTCTTCCCCTAAAGAGGTTTTCCCATTTGAGTTTCAATACGGTTTCTCCTTAACTTTGATGCAAAATTACTCACGAGGCGTCGCGAAGCACGCCGGGTATTTGCTAGTCAAGTTATAAAACATGTTTCACCATTTAAATTAAGTAAATCCAAATATATGTGTTTTTACGTTTAATATGGTTTGCATTTAACAAAATTATTTCATTACAAATATTTTTTTGACCACTTGGACTTGTAAAAAAAGCATTAATTAATATTATCAAAATAAAAAAGTGCAATTACGTTATGTTTTATTAATGATGTGAAGCGAATCTCTAATATTTCATACATTCGGTGCTTAAATTTTTCAGTTCGTTTACTGGATATACCGAGGTTTATATTTAGGTTAAAATGGCTTTGAAAACATTTTAATCTCTAAGCAACCTCCCACCGGTTGCCATGTTGTAGATATCAACTTGGAGTAAATAAGCGTCCTCAATTACTGAAATAGGTTACTGATGAAGGTTACTAAGTGCACCGAGTTTGGTACAAATTGATAAATCGGTTACCGAGATATACATTTGTAGTCATAAGTGGGCGACGCCACGCCCATTATCCAAAAACTGATAATAATCTAATTTAATGCTAAGAGGTTATACCAAGAATCGATTTATCGCAGTTTTCGTGTTTTCGTAAATTACCGTTATATGGGTAGTGGGCGTGGTTATCGCTTGATTTCAAGTATTTTTAGCAGATGTGTATGTTAAATATACCCTAAGCAAGGCTCATAACTACGGTGACCATCCGTCCTGTATTATACGGGACAGTCCTCTTTTTTTACCCATTGTCCTGTTAATTTATTTATTTTATACGGGACGCTAAATGTTCTGTATTTCTTTTAATGTCCCGTATTTGGTATTTCGCCCACTTAAGAGCTCATTAAAATGGCATGTCTATGAACGAGTTTTAAGTGATGTTGGTATGTGATCGTAATTTTCTCCATAAACAGTTATTATTTTCTAATCTGAATGCCTGTGATTCGAATCGAGGATAACATACAGTGACTAAAATAAAAATTAGCACTCGACATTTTAGTAAGTTTTGGATATTTCCCTTAGCTTATTTAAAATTTATTATTTATGAAAGTAAAGCTCTTTTCCTAACAAAAATCATATAATATCAAATTACCAACTTTGTGCCAAAAAACTATAAAAATTAATTCTGCAATATTTCACTTACTCTGTACGAAAAAATACGCAACACCGTCAACAAAAACAAAAATTGCCAAAAACTAATGGCAAGCCTTAGCAACTTAATATTGCGCTTTATTATACTAAAATTTAACGAATTTTTTAAACAAATTTTTCGGGGTAAACATCTCGAGAAAATTATCCTACAAATTTTTGATTTTACTAAAAGGATACTGTTTCAGGGCTAATATATCTAGGTTCATTGAAGGAGGCTTTCAGATCTGTAAGCTGTGGTGGAAAGAATTTGCAAAATTATATTTGTCCCGTATTCGGCTCTCATAAATATGGTCACCGTACTCATAACGGATACTGAGATACAGCATTTCATCATAAGTGGGCGGGGCCCCTCCCATTATCCAAACATTTCATATTAATCCTATCTTGTTCCAAAATTTTACTTCACATACCAATTTTCAACAATTTGGATACAATATTTACTGAAATATCGTGGATTTATCTAAATTGACATTTATCTAAATTTTAACGCTTGTATACCCAAAACTATTTCTTTAATCATCACTTATATAACACCAATGTAAAGGAAAACAAATGTTTATTCCGAAATACATAACATAGTTGGGTTCGCTTTACATGCCCGCAAATTTCTAGCAACGCGACCGAAAGGTCCTATAAAACATGACTTTTGCTTATATCTCGAAAACTTTTTTTTTTTATTTAAATGGATTCATATTCTGGTTCAGTGGCCTCAAATTCGTCTAAAAAGTTTAAGTTTAGTGTTAAAATAGATCTAAAGTAGTGTTACTATATAATAGTTGCGTTTTAAGATTTTTCTTTAATACATTTTCTAAGTAGAGAAATACCACTTATCTGCCATTTTCTGTGGGCAATCTTTTGACAGTACATTACCTAATTTCAATTGAACAAAATTTAATCATTACTTTTTAAGAATACAATGCAACAATCAAAATATTAACTTAAAACACTCATGATCTTTCTTGAGAGCAAAAATTTATTTATAAGCAGCGTTAGAGTATTCTGTTTCCGGTCAACGGTGAGCGTTCGCTGTGCAAGTTAGAAAAGTGAGGGAGACTGGAAAATGTTATTTGGAATGTTCTCTATCTAATGTGACTATTTTTTTTTAGTTTCCTTTAAAATTTTGTCAAATTGGTTTATGGCCGCCTAAATCGTTCAAATACCCCTATGTACACCGTTTGAGTGCCTGGGGAGAGAGGAAGCTTCCATTTCCTCTAATAGCGTGGAATGACAGACGGGGGCAAACGCCTTTGACAAGTCCAACCTGGTGGCGTTCTCCAGCAGTACTGAATTGCTATGCAACTTCATTTCTTGGATCGCTGCTACCAATATGCTGCACGACCCATGAATACGGGTACCTCTTCGATTTTGCTCTCGAGTCCGTTGCAGTTCAATTGTGTTACGTTTCGTGTGTCTTAGGAGATTGACCTCGAAGTGGAGGGTGAGAGATGTATGAGGTGTTCTACCTTGGTCCAGTTGTGCTTTCCGCTCTGGTTGTTGCTGTCTGGTGGTATATGGCTGTATTATAGGTGTTGATGACTGTGGCCGCATGCCCTGCAAGAGGGGGCGCGGTAGTCACTTGTCTCTTTGAGTTTGGAATGTGCTCATTGCCGCTCTTGATGAGGACGCCTGGCACGAGAGGTCCATCGGCCGGGTAGGCTCCGTTAGCATCCCAGACGCCAGTCGCTCGCTGCCCTCCGAGGGTTTGCAGCTACCAACGCTGGACTCAATATTCTATTTAAATGGCCGTGAAGGCTTCTTCGGGACCGATCCAGCGGCTACCGAAGATTTCTCTTGACTATTTATAATGCCGTGTCCGTCGGCGGCATTTTCACCCGTGCAGGGATCCGGGGCTTCATTATTCGTATTCATAATATCTGGTTCTTTGGTCGCCTACTGAGCCGAAACCTTTCGGCGACCGTGTATAACGGTAAGGGGAAAGAACGGTCGGCCACAGCAGAGCCCCGTGCTGCGGTAAGTCCACCGTTACTCCCGGAGCCGGACAGGTATCCGGTATAAAATACAGTCGGAAGAGCCCCCTGACTTCAAACCATCCAATAGGTACCTGGTACACCCTGGATTAGGGGGGCGTTTTATACCTACCGCCACGTACCCCCTAGAAATAGCCTAAGAATGCCACGCTGAGTACCTACCTCTTCGCAAAAGAAGAAATAAATGATACTTTATTATAGAGATGGCTAAACTCCCGTATTACTACTTACCAATTCATTTACAACGATATTAGATCATCCTATATTATGACCGCATCTTAGGTATAAACAGAAAACTTCGTAAAATTGTTTCTTTTATTCGTTAGTTGTGCACAGTAAAGAAATTAACAAAATATGGCATAATAAAACCCAATAATCCGTATGACAACACTTTTTATATTAGTTTGCACTGTGGGAATTACAGATTTATTAAATGATTATGTTCATAAACACAAATATAAATACTCAGCTGCTTTTAAAAATTTGAACTTTTTCACTTAAAATAATTTAAAAACAATTATTATTTTTTATTATAAATGCAACTTAATAATAAGTTTTCACTTCAAACTCTTAAGATGGTATTGTTTTCCAAATAACTTAAACCAGGCTAGAATGACAGCTTAAATTTAGTTCTTTTGAAAAGCAGGGTAGAAGAAGCCTGGATAAACTGGCACCTGAAATAAATACATATATGTTTTTTATGTACATACATATGTATTTTCTTGTACGCATTTTGCTACACTTGCTCACACAAACATTTACGTTGTCTGCCACATGTGCGTGAACATTCATTCAAACATCCCTACAAGAATTAATAATTCAATCAATGATTGAGAATTGACTCGAGTGATGGAAACTAACACATTCTCGATTATCTTACTAACATATTTGCAAATTTTGCGTTGGTTAAAAAGAGACTATTAAATAAGGCCATAAGTTGAAGAAGATGGGAGTGTTTGATGAACATTTCCATCACCAATGAGTTACATATGATTAATCAAATGATCTTGTAGGGATGTTTCTTCGTACATCACTATCATGCCTAATAAAGCTATTCAAATTACTGAACATTTCCACATAATCCTAATATTCAATCTTCAAGATAGAATACTCGTATTCCATCTACTTCGCTTCAAAATAGTGTTCCATATTTTCTTTGGAAAATAAAACCAAGTCTACATCGACTTGCACTGCGCACACATTGTTCGTGCTCGCGTATTGTCGCGTACGAAGTCATGGACATTGAATTTTCCATCATCGCCATTTACGGTGCCCCGACATTTTAGTTGCCTTAAAAAGAAAAAAATAATAGCAATAATTTTTAAATAGATACTTATCGTCGTTTAAAGTACAAAACCGCGTATCAAGAAAATGCAAAACCGCGTATATGAAGTCGCATAAATTATTTTCTAGAGAGTAAAAACACCCATATTTCAAATGGTTCTCTTTTTTATAAAGAAATCGCATTTCTGGCTAGTATATTTCAGGACGAATGGATAAGGATTGAGCCAAGAGCTTGTGTGAGCAAATCCAATTTTTGGCAGACAATGTCAGTTGCGCGGTTTTGTACTTCAATCCACGTTATATATGTGTGTAATGATTAAATGTACATATGCATGTCATATGGTATTAAGAATATAACCGCGAATAATTATTTAATATCAGCCAAATTCTGAATACCTCCAAGGAGTTTGTTATCCGGGAATTTGTTTCTCCTGAGAAAGAAATCCTCCAATAATTAACTCCCAGGAAATAGCATTTTCCCCGAAAGTTTGGGAGGAGAAAATTCGAACTTCTCAACAGCTGTTTGACACTTCTTTGACAGCTCAACACCGCCATTTTATATAAAAAATCCTCAGGGAATTTTTATTCAGGATAGGAGGAAAGGGAAAAGAGAGAAAACTCCCAGGGAGTTTCGGTTCAGAATTGGCCTGTATATATATGTAGATATTTTCGCCAGTGCATCGTACAGAAATAGGTAGGTACTACGACTGGGAGTTTTGTCCGGATTTTTTGAATATCCGTATAATTCAGACAATAAAAATTCGAATAACCGTATGCTTTGCTCTGTCGGCCATTGCGACTGTTGCAGCGCCGCGAGCAAAATGGCTTACTTATAAGGGTGTTCGATTATTCGCCTTTTTTCCAAAACTGGGTTTCGAGTTATTCGAAAAATTGCAATTTGAAAAAACTGGTTCGCGATTTTGAAGTTAAGAAAAAACTGGAGGAGCAATTTTTATTTTACATAGTTTTTATACAGTGAAAAGGCTCATGATGGTATGAAGTCATGTCCAGAAATTACAATAAAATTATTATTAATAGAAAAACAAAATAAGTTCAAAGTTTTTTATATCAAAAGTAAAGCAAATAAGAGTCAGTGAAAAATTCAAGTTTGGTGATATTTTAACTTTTTAATACTTTATTACACTTTTTCTGATTCCTTTCGGTTTTGAGTTCAATTTAAGGTCCCAGCCATGATAAAAACATAGCAAGGTATAACCGTTCTCTCAATTTGTCGGCCATGATTTTTTTTTGAAGTTTGCCAACATTTTAAAATCATATAAAAGTGAAAATAAAAAATTGAAATTGTTCGAAATTGTTGTTGCTTGAGATTTAAAATGAAAATGTGTGTGTGAGTTTGTGAGTAAATTTAAAAATTAAATTGTTTGGAAACGTCAAGAACCTTAAAAGTGACTCTCAGCGGTTCTACCTTACTATATTTTTATCATGGTCCCAGCGACATCAAAAACAAATTTTTTTTTAACCTTCGAGTGTATTTCTGCTATAAAAAAGCATAAGCAAAGGTGGAGTAAAGGTGTAGGTCTCTCCATTTGTTTCACAACATCAAGAAACAGAACAAAAATTGAAGAAGAAGCTCGGCCAAACATGTAGAAAACGTTTAAGCACATTCATTTATAGGAATCAAATATAATATGTTGTCTACTCCTAAATATCCTAGGATAAAATTTTATAACTATTTAGGGTTTTTTTTTAAACTGGAAAAAGCTTTGAAAACTTCGAAAAACTTTAAACATTTATTATTTATTTAGAGGTCAAGATTTGTAAGAAATGAAAAAAAACGGCTTGTTCGGTAATAAAATCCGGTTTATTTGATATTCGAAAAATCAAGTTTACAAAAAAACCGACGGTAGACAGCCAAAAAAACGGGGGAAACCGGTTTGGAAAAACCGAGCCAGTCACTCTAATACTTATGCTTTCATGGGCAATGAATTGGCGGACTATCCCATTTAATGGTATAATGCTACTAGTATTTCTACTAGTAGATGCTGATGCATATCCAGACAACTGAAATCTCGTAGGACATCGCCATGTTAAAACTACTAGTCGCTAACATTGAAAAAGGAAATAACGTGAATTAATTGTGCTGAAACGCAAACTGCTAGAATTCTAGTTCATAACTAGTAGCTTTCGCTGCAGGGTTCCCTGCAGTGAAACCACAAACTAGTCAGGAAAAATACTAGTTTACACCTAGAATTTCCTGACTGAAACCGAACTATGTAGTTCGAAAATGGCCAGACTTGTACTAAGTACAAACCGATTTATTCATGCCCGGTTTTATTTGACTTCGATAGTTGAATACAAAGTACACGAAATATTGTGCCTTTTATTTGGGAATATTGTAAACCATTGAGGCGAGTACATATTCAATTATACCAGACCTGTTAAATAATGATTTATAATCGTAATGATTATTAATTAAAGCATCTTTTTGTGGATAACCATTTGATGATTAAATACCTATATTAGCACATTTTTAATAATCTATTAAAAGTTGTTAATTTATCCATTAATTTCAATTTCATGATTATCTTATTATTTTTGATCATTATCAATTATTCTTGACTTTTTAATATGATTATTTGATTAATTTCAATTATCAATCAACAAGCCAAACTTTAGACAAAAATTAAGAATATTTAATTACTGCAAGAATTATTTTTTACTTTGTTCTTATCCAAATCTCAAATTTTAAGCGTTAATAATTTCTTTTATAAAATTTAAAAAACAAGTGAAAATGAATACTTTTATTTTTTTCAAGTTCACTCGAAAATGAACTAAAGTATTTATTTTATTTTTAACTAATTGTTTTTTGTATATTTAATATTAATAAAAAAATACAAAAAGATGTAGTATTTATTGTACCCAAAAGCTTTTACTTTTAATAACATTTAATGAAAAATGCATTTAAATTTATGTTCGAAAGTTTAAAATATTTAAGTATTTATTTCTTCCTTAATTAATTAATACTCAAAAAATTTTACACTAGTTAAGGCTGCTAAATAAAAATGTGTATTAAAGTGTACTTATTAAAAATATTTTTATTGTATATTCATGAATTCATTTTATTTCTTGACTCCCATAATTGGACTGGTCTTTTTTGAACTAGTATGAGACTGGTATATTTTTGACCAAAATCTGAAAATTGCCATCTTGTAGGACATCCCCATGTTAAAAATACCAGTTGATTGCATCGAAAAAAGATAGTTGGCTGACTAGTTGTGCATGCGGAGTATGAAGATAGTTTGCAACTAATTCTCTTGACTACAGGGGTTGTTATGGAGATATGTATGTATGTATGTGAAATCAATCCCATACTCATGGAGCAAAAAAAAAAAAAGGTTAGGATAAAGCGGGTGTGGCAACTCCCATGCAAATTGAGTATTTTATGCTCCATATCTCTGGGAGCATTTAGCTAGAATACTGAGAATTGGTATTTTATAAATGCCAGGTCTGAAATTGCGTTGGAAAAAGGAAAAGGGGGCGTTGTACCTGCAGTAGGTGACACGTTTACATGGCGTATACCTGGAGGCTATTCTGTAATGCGATGCGAAAGAGCAATGCGATAAGAATGAGCAATGCGATGCGAAAGGCAAATACATCAGGGGGTTTTCCTTAAATTCGTAGAAGCCTCGTAAACCTTGTAAAGCTCGTAAATTTACGAGCCCCTCGTAAATTTACGATGTAAATTTGATGTGCAAACGACCTCGTAAACTTCAGTGTTGCCGAGGAGCCGAAGATTTTATTCTATGTAAAATGTATGATAAACTACTGAAAACAGATGAAAAAAATAATAGGTGAATAAAATTCGTGAATTTCATCCACCAACTGTATTTACATGGGTTTTCTATTCATTCTCGCACTTTTAATTATATTTTAGCTTTCATTCGAGCTGGCGGGCTGTTATGAAAAATACTACGAAACGAAATATTCACAAAACCCTTTTCAGCCTGTCGTCACTTCAGTCACAGTCACTTTATGCACCTAATTACGTAATTGCAAAAGAGGGCGTACCCGTAACAGGCTCGTAAACTTACGAGTTTTACACAGATTAAGACTTTACGGGTTTAATCGTAAGTAAATGCTTGAATTCTAATGGACCTCTCCCATCGCATTTTCGTATCGCATCGCAGAGTGGCATCATTTTACGGTAATCTTAGAGGGACGACATTTTATAATTTCATAGTTTTAAACAGACTATATTAACTCCTTTTAAGCGAAAATATAGCTCTAGCAAATTGGGCACAAAAATAAAATATATCATCGCACAATTTTATTTTTTTTATTTAAGAAAAAAGGAATATAGTTGTAAATAATAATACTACCTACGAAATATAACAAACACTAACTTATGTGTAAGCGCTAATCTATTATTATTATTATAAAAACGATTCTTGAAACTCGCTGTATCATGTAGTTGTTCTTAAGTACGATTGCCATCTACGCAAATCACAATGAGGTGCTTAAGCCATTTAAATTTACCGGTCAGCAATTTAGCAATCCCACGAGTTGGTCACAGTCTCTTCTTCTCAGTGGAAGAGATACCTAATTAGACCTTTTGAGATTGAGGGCAATATAGGGCTTGTTTGGGTTGCAATCGGTGTGAATTTCTTCCAGCGTTTTATTAGTTGGAAAGTTGCAATAGTTTTGTAAATAGCATTGTAAATAGTATCTCTCTAGAAAAGTTAAATAGGGCCTATGATCGTTCTCACGACAGTCGGGTCTACGTAATCGGAACGATGCAGATTTATATCTGGCCAATGACTGTAACTTCAGCAACACTCCCCAAAAACTCTTTCGATTATTTGTATGCTGTTACAACAACAACAACATAGCCTACGATCACTTTTTTACATAAAAAAATGTATATTTTTGTATCTATGAATTTCCGTCTGTCTTCACCAAGTATCATGCCCACCTCCATTTTTTTTTTACCTTCCTTTTATTAGCTCGCGATGTAACTATGTAATATTGATGCGCCTAAAAGATGCAGCGATTTCTATTCTCAAGTTACATACCTGATGACAGTACGAATGGCAATTATAATATGGAGGTTTTAGTTTTTTAAACTATAATTTTATTTTGTAAGCCTACAAGCCTAAGATACAAGATGGTGGTAGATAAAACAGAGAAAATCATCAAATGCTAGGCACAAGAGAAAAGAAGAATGCTTTCCAATTTGGCATATGGGCATATTGAAATCCTTCTGCGTGAATCCTAATGGATCTCTTGGATAAATCTAATTTATCAACACAGACGTCACTTTATGCCTTAAAGCCGGGGAAGCTTCAAACATCAAAGTGGAAATCTTTTTTAAGGTCGTCAATAAAACTCAGCCGTTTTTTTGTTTAATATAGGTAGGAAGCAATCTGGACCGGATGATTTGGAGTTGTAAAAGATATAATAGCATATCTTAGGGTATATTCATTCGGCTGTTAAGTTCTATTAACAAACCTCAAAATGTGCTATCATTACTTGCACAATAACGATCAGGCCTAATGAGTGAACCTCGCTCTTTGGTTTGGTTGAGATACCAACTTAGCCCTTTTCCCCGAGATTTCAATATGACTAAAGTACTCAATGATCTTTAACTTTTCGCAAAGGAATTTTACTAACCGGCTAAAAATTAGTTTTGAAAGCTCGGTTAAGCAAATTTTCGAATCACTCGTGAACCTCTTAAGTTCCTTATTCCATAAGAAAGCATTAGTACGGCTGAGAAGTGGACGAGCCGGACAGGGAAAATCCCAACTAGAACCAGGGTTGGCTCGGAGTCGGGAACGTCGGTGCAGAAGTCGGGTGTTAATGTTCCTCCCGTAAATACACAGCCAGTCCGATTCGTTTACTTTGCCAATTATTTAGTGTCGGAATTCGTTAATAGAGCAAAGCTCAGTTAACTTTTGAGATACTTTGTCATAGCTTGCGACCAAGCGATTATGATTTGCCATATTTATGTCAATTGTAAAAAATCTGAAATCTTTATTTAAATCCTTACAAAGTTTTGGCGAGATCTTTATAAATTTATGTATAAAATGACATTTTCGAGAAAAAAATGTGGGTGATTAGGCGGCCAGTTAGTTTTTTGAAGTTTTTTCCGGTACAATAAAAAAATTCTTAGTGCGTGGTCGAGTTCACTTAATGTATATATTTTTTTGTTTAATGATCGGTTTTTATTTTACTCACCTAGCGACTGCGGAAAAAGCAAGCTCGACATTCAATCCCGTTTTAGCAGATGTTTCCATAAAGGGTACATTGTGCTCTCTAGCTAATCGTTCTCCATCCTCGCGTTTTACTTGCCGTTCGCTGTTGCTGCAGTCCGCTTTATTTCCTGAATTGCGTTTTAAGAAAGCAAATTTAAGCATGTTATTTAATCAAACTAAGCCAGATTATTTAAAATATTTAGTGAGATTCATTGATTTTGAATTCATATTTTTTATACCATTAACACTGTACAGCACTCGGCTGGGTATGAGGCCAAACCAACTTTTTTAGAGATTGAGTCATAAGTAAAAAAAGTAATTTCTCCGTTCTTCGAATTTCGAAACTGAACCTTTGGTAAAAAATTATTTCTAACTATTGCATGTAAAAAGCAAAAAAATTAATAATACAGATGTGGTCGGCCTTTTGCTCTTATTTATATGGTATATAAATGTTTTTGTGAAAGCTTATATTACAGGTGCTATAACGGGTCAAATGTCAGATATTCGAAAAATTAAAAACTTAATATTTCAGAAAATTTTGAACTGATTTAAAAAAAATTCATATCGTTGTAAAGTTGAAAGGGGGTTAATTCTTGTGATATGCATATTTGTATACTTCGTATATAATTTAAGAAAGAGGTATTCTCATCACATCCTCTGTCTTTGCATCGACATGCCTATCAGGCGGGGAAATCCTGGGAGACGCCTTAGCAAAATCTGGTTGCCCGAAATAGCATTGCCATCCATAGGAAGGAGTTCGCCTTGGGCATATTTGTAGACATTGAGGGTGATTTTCACAATGCCACATTTATATAACTCTATTTATAGGAAATACATATGCAAATGTATGCAAAATTATGCAAATATACAAACAAGCAAAATATGGGAATATATGCAAAACATAATAGGGCCATATTAACTCACTTACTCCTATATTGAGTTTCTACTCAGCTTCGGACTTTCTGTGATGTTAAACCAAAAATATGAGTGCTTTTCGCACTGGGAGAAGTATGCACTAAAGCAGCGATCATACGATTTGTACATTTGTACAAATTTATAAATTTTGGCAGACACAGAGCGGTGATGTCTATAAATGTTTATCGAGAATGAGTTTAGCTCAATAAAAAATGTCCAAACAACCCCAGTGTGTAACTGTCAAAATGTAAAAAATCTATATAAATGTACAAATCGTACGATTCCTGCTTAAGACTGGGCTGCTGTGCCTCAACCTTTACCACCCATCTTATTCCTTGGGTGGCGGTGGAGTTTGCTCCTAGAAAATAAACATTCTATAGAAGTGGTTTCATTGGAGAATTTGTAAATTTTTTCAATAGAAGCCCTTTTTACGTAACATATTGGAAATCCATCGCTTAACCTAATCATTACTTCACGACAACTAACGAATTGATATTGCACACATGTACGTAAATAGTTGCAAGCTGTGAGAAACTAACTGTACATTTAAGCGAAAAGTACACAAATACTTAGATATGTATGCACATTAGGGTGGTCCCAAAAAAGGATGCAAAAAAAGGTTAAGTCCCAATTCTAATGCTCTCAGGTCCTAGGATTGTTCTATATGGGAAAATACGCTTGTTTTCTATTACGAAATTAAAAAAATATTTAGAGGTCGCTCAAAGCGGAAAAAGGAAAAAGTGACTTTTCGTAAAAAGAATCCAGAATTCTTGAAAATCAATATCTTTCGATCGGAGAACTCTGTTTCTCTGCTTATTTTCATGGAATTCCAATAATATTTAATACCAAATTTATTTTATTAATATATAGAAGAACAATCCTCGAAGAGGGGCGGGGAGAGGGGGGGAGGGGGAACAATCCTAATGTACATACATACATATGTATGTACATATATGTATATATATAGGAGTATACAAACCAATGAGCACAATCACGACATCATCCTGTGCATATTCCCTTATCTCGCCCAGCCAAGCGCGAATGTTGTCGTAAGTGGTTTTGTTGGTGACGTCATATAACAGAAGCAGAGCTATGTAAGGAAAAAAGTAGAAAACTTTAAGTTGATATTTGTATAAAACATACTTATGTAGTACATAGTAAATACTACAACATACCATGTGCATCTCGATAATAGGCATGTGTGACGCTACGAAAACGCTCCTGACCAGCTGTGTCCCAAATTTGCAATTTGACGCGCGTGCCATCCACAACTACTACCTTATTCTATTGTGTCATAAAATAAAATAACAGATACAAGCATACATAAACAAATTTATATGCGATTGGAATTACATTTTTAAATATTAAGCACTGCTGGTGGTCATATTCGGCTATGGAATTACTGTACAATAACAAACAATTAAAACATAAACTACTGTTGAGATTTGACAAAACAACTTACTTGAATTTAGAAGAATTGATTTAAAATAATACCTTAGATGATAAGTTCAACAAAATTTTACTAAGCCGATAGTGGAAGTTATTTATGTACATATATTTACCCGGCCAAAATCGCTACAGCGCCAAAAAAGAAGAAGAAGATTTATCTGTTTTACAGACCAAAATTCAAACTCGAGATAAGTTGTTCTGACAAAAGTGGGTAATCTCACACACTTATGCAAATTATTAAGATAGGTAAAAATAGAAGAACACAAGTAAAGTTAAAATTACATGACAACGTAAATAAATACTGTCGTAACATACATAGTATGTACATACAAACGTAGGGCAGGGGGCAACTAATATTTGCAACTCTAAATCAGTAACATGACATTGATAAATTACCACATCTCACTGGTCTCGGTAAATGATTCCAGCGGAATGTGCCATGCGAATTTTAGATCAAATCGGAGTTGCTCACGACATTTTTTCTATTAACTTCGAATTTCGTGAAATCTCCAGAAACAATTCCAGTACCCTACCTCAGATACTTCTTGAGATATTCTGTATGAAAATTCCACTTGTATGGGAAAGACCACGGAAGCTTTTTTCCATTATATTTATGCATTATGAAAATTTGCATTAGTATGTTAGTGGTCACGCCCGCTCGATATATCGAAATTATATTCAGTACATGATCTTCATTGGGAAGTCTATAGTAAGTGAACCATATTTGGTCCCGATACAGTCATGTGCGAAAAGTAATAGAGACACGACATTTTGACCAGTTTCGACCAGTTTTTCTTTTGTTTGTGTATTTTTTATATATACATATTTTTTTATAGCAAGTAAGAGAGTCTAAGTTCGGTCGAACATTAAATACCCGGA